CTAACTTGGAAATAGCCTGATATATCAATGTAGACATAGAAACACCAGAAATGCATTTTTTTGTCTGATACAAAAACAAATATATAGGTAAAAAAATGTACTCCTTATATATATTTGTATGAAACCTGATGGTATTTTTGTGAATGCAGCTTCTCAAAAATTCTTCAAGATTGTAAAAGTACTGTCAAGTGTAAAAACCAGGCATCAATAGTGCAGCGCCTATTGCATACTGCAAAGAAGCTGTTTTTTGTCCATATGTGTTGGTGTATGAATGCTGCCCTGTACTTTCTTCTGCCATAAAGGTTCCTGTATAGTATGGGAAGAAATACAGGGGTAGCCATTAACATTAACTTTCCCTCTGCACAAAGCAGAACAACAGACAAGACTCCCGTGAGAGCAATTTGTTTCTCCATTAAGTGGATTGCGTTTCATCATAAAACAAAGTTTAGAGTAAGTTTATAAAGGGTTGGCAGAGAAAGGGGTTGCATGCAGGTCCGGCCTTAGGCATTTGGGCGCCCTGCGCGAAAAATCTTCACATCGTCCCCCCCTTCCCATCCCTCCCTTTCCCCCCTTCCCACACACCCTGTCACACACACATGCAGACAGCCACATGCACACACAGACATAGAAACATAGAATGTGACGACAGATAAGAACCATTCAGCCCATCTAATCTGCCCAGACAGTCACACACAGTCACACACAAACACACACGCAGACAGCCACACACAAACACACACACGCAGACAGCCACACACAAACACATACACAGACAGCCACCCCCCCCACATACACAGGCAGACATAGAACATAGAATGTGACGACAGATAACCATTCGGCCCATCTAGTCTGCCCAGACAGTCACACACACATAGTCACACACAGACACAGTCAGACACACAGACAGTCACACACACAGGCAGACAGTCAAACACACAGACAATCACATATAGTTACCTCTGTTCCTTGTGGAGGCAGACAGCCAGTGCAGCTCCTGGATTCTGGTGGTTGGGGGAAGTAGGGACTCCTTCCTGCTTCCCCTGCAGCATTACATGGCACTTTTAGCTCCGCCCCCGCCGCACGGTAAGCATGTTTAGTTGTTATCTTTCTTATCTGACACAGCACCAGTTTACAGTTTATATCCCTCTTAATATCTGAAAAAAACAAAACTTTTTTTTGTCCATAGGTGCCCTAAACCTAGGCAATTGTCCAGCTAACCGTTTCATTCCAATCTATCTTGTTGTTGCCGGAGCCTTCAGCCTTGGTTATTGGATTTTGTTTCCTCTACAATTCTGCTTACCTACCCTAAGGAAAATCCTGGCTGTCCTTTTTGCTCTTTTTTGGTTTGCCTGGTTCATTGCAGGTAAGAGCAACACAATAAATATGTTGTATATTGTTACCAACATGGATATTACATGTACAGATCTGAGATATAGTGGTATGTGCACATCACTCTCTGGCTTGTGCTACCAAATGAAAAAGACGACTATTTGTGATGAGTTATGGTCGGCAAAGATCATAACAAAATATATACAATAACCATGTAATTTCGAACTACCTTTGTATCATGTTATTTGACCAGATAATCAATGTTCCATGCAGAAATA